GTCACACAGCTGGCTTGGTGTGGCTTCTAAGTGGGCCCCCTGCCTTATAGCCCTTGCTCCCCCCCTTGCTCTCTCCACGCTTACACATGCTACCTGGGCACGTGCCTGCAGGCCGCCTCCTCTGCTTAAACACTGCTATCCGCTCTACCACTGTACTCTTATTTTTATTCTTCGGGTAAGAGTTCAAATGATGATTCCTCAAGCCATGTCCTCCTTGCTACGTTTCCCCTAAAACCTGAAATCTTTCAAAAGTTTGCAATTATTTCTCTATATACTGATATGATTAATGCTTGTCTTCTTTTGTATAGACTAAGCTCTATGCTGTCAGGGACTGTGTCTAGTTCGCTCATCAACATGTTCCGAGTGCTCAGCATGTAAATGTCTTTTAAATGAGTGATAAATGAATGAAGAGTGAGGGAAAACTATAGTCAGAATTTTTTTTGTTTTCAAAAACAACAGTTATCTACTGTGCATTTCCTTAGTTAGTGGTAGTCATACAATGAATGCAAATCCTACTGAGAGACCACTGCAGAGGGTACAAAGGAAATAACAGTGTGAGGGTCTGAGAAAACTGTCTGAAGTCCAGTCTAAACTTAGAACTGAAAACCAGTAATGAAGTCACCTTCTCAGCTAAATTTAATGGGATATAATGGTTAATATGCCATGGTAATGTGAACTATAAACTCATAACTTTCTGTGCAATCTTTCCACCACTAAGAGAAGAGTAAAAAGTTGTGTAATAGATTCATTCTCAGTCAATATTTTCTAGGTAAACATGGCTAAGACTACAAAGAAAATGAATGTGGTAGAATGTACTTGTTTACAAACAAAACTCTTTTAAGTATTCAGAATTTAGAAAACTCTTGATAATGGTCATCTAAGAGTCACTTCTATTGAATGCCCTTAGAACATACACTTAGGGAGATACCCATCCAAATATTTCACATATTTTTACCACATAGGACAGGTTTATAAGCAGGCAATTCCTTAGCAAAGTAAACTGAAACATTAGACATTATGTAGTCAAACAGTTTCATAAACAGCAGTAATTGGTTAATGCTGAACTAACAGTTTAATTTGGTAAGACAGTAATAACAGTAATAAAATAATAACTAAACTGGTTTTACATCTAAATTTGGCAAGTTCAAATAACTCATTCATGTAAAACAGTCTCTTTTTCCCTTTTATGAATACTGGAGAATATGTCATTCATTAATCCACTGAATAATTATTTAAAATCGCTCACTGTTTTGACCTTGGATAAGTTAAGCTTTGTATACTTTGTACAATATAGTTTTAACAGAATTGGGTTAATATTTCCATAGCAAATAGCTTCTATTGAGGCAGTGGACCATGTACAGGCTTTGAAATAAAACATTGGCTGTGCCACTCCGGAAAAATAGCTATATATTTCTGAGCCTTGGCTATTTTTCATCTGTACAAAGGGGAAATTGATAACACAGCTTGTAGGGTTTGTGTGAGATTTAAATGAGATCACATCTGAAGCATTTATTAGAATTCTTATTTTTGTCTGCATCTCTCTTCTCCCATTCTTGTCTTGCACCAATGCCAGTATCACAATAAATGTTTAAATAAACTTAAAAATTGCCATGAGTTTGTTTTATAGATTACTATAGATCAATATGTATATGGAGATTAATATAGATTAGTATTTAGTGTTTTAAAGAGTACTAAATAACCCATGGTTATTTAGAACCATACTACAAAATTTACATTGTTAAATACAAATACATAAATTTAAAAGATGAATAATTTTCCAACTTGTAGATATTTTATACTTTTTAATTTTATATTTTTTCTTGAATTTTAGATTCCAAAAGCTAATAAATGTAATTTATTGCTAAATCATGTTCATGTTTTGAAAGTGGTGAATAGTTAAAAATGTAATAGCATTATAGATATTAGGAAAGATTTTACAGATCATCTAATTCAATTTTTCTTTTTTTTACAGATGCAAAAACAATCCTAGGAAGATGAAATGACTTACACAAAATCCAGTGGACATAAGAATAAAAGAAAAATTAAATCACAGTACCTAAGATCATCTGGTAACTCTATTTTGTTTGTTCCTGAGATGTAGCACTGCAGAAGCCATGAGGAGACAGTGAAAAAAACATGGAAGAGAACCAGGGAGAATATCTGATGGGACTAGAGGCAATAGAATTTGGGGGAGAAAAGCCTAGGAAACTGCAAAGTTTAGAGCTCAGGGCCAGTATCTTTTCAACCTTAACATAGCAAACTACCTAAGTCTGCATTGGAGGCTGTAGCTAGAGTATATCAACCTAACTGATGTACAGGAGAAATTAGAGAAAAAAGGTGCTTAGGAAGGTAGGAAATAGTAGTTTGAATTTACAAACATAAAATAAAGGTTAATCATCAGTTTTAATACTCAGTATTGAGTATGCCTTAATCTAAGGTTTCTTTACAGTTGAGGCCTTGTTTCATTTTTTGTTTGTTTGCAGAAGACTTCTCATTTTTTTTTTTGATAAAAAGAATCTGGAAAGTAGAACTAGTACTTTAAATTTTAAAAGTCATAAAATTTCAGCCTTCTGCACTCAAAATGGAAAAAAAAAGCCCAGAAGTATAAAAAAATAAAAGAAATACAAAATAAATAATTTATTTTTTGTTTTACTTGGGCAAAAGCAGAGGAATTATAAAGCAGAGTATCAATCACTCAACATCTGATTCATAAATGCTGAACTCAATTTCCTTAATCTTTGAAATTATTCCTGACATCTAAGATACGTTTTTCATTACTTCTTAGGAGCAGTTGAGCCTAAAGGTCCATAATGATATAACTAGCAGATAATTCAAAAAAGCCAATATGGATATATCAACTTTTAAAGTAGTGAAAGTAAACAAAACAAGCATTGACACTATCATCTAAACTTGGGGAAAACAGGAACACAGTATTAACTGCATATATCAGGAACACAGTATTAACTGCATATATGTTGGTAGAAACACACTGCTTTTATTAAAAAACCTAAATAAAATATTTGGTCTTGATTCAGATCGAAACTTCTTTCATCTTTGTACCATGCATATCAGAAACCTGCTTAAGCAATACAGTGTAATCAGGAAGTGTTAGTAAACTCAAAACCTTATATTCAGTTGACACAGTGAAAAGACTAAGACGCAACTCTCTAACATAAATAACAGAGTCCATTTTTCCCCCCAGACCCTGAAATCAGAACAGTTAGACCAAAAGCTCCATGAGGAAAAGTACTGTGCCATTTTCTACTCTCCTGAATTCTCAACACTCAATATTATGCGTGGCATATAACTGATACTCATTATTCATTTGCTTACAGATTGACTGAATGAAATACAGTTTTCTAAATATTTCAAACTGCTTGTAAATGTATGTTTCCTCATATTATAGAAATAGTTTGCTACTCTAAGGTTGGCAAATTGGAAATATTTTGGCTCATTATTTTAAAAAGATCATACAATACCTTGAACTCTATGAAGCCAGTTTCACAGGTATTGAGCAAATGAATAAATTCAGATGATAAACACAAACCAGTGAAAGTTTAGCACACACCCATTTTTCACATATATTGCCTGAAGACATAAGATATAGTATACAGATGGCACTTTCAAGAACCAGTAGGTCAGGACAATTGCAGAGAGAATAAAAATGCGAAGATAAACACAAACCAAACAAGTTCACTATTAATTACATTAATAATGTACAATGCTTACTTTTATGCAAGAAACTCAAAAACTCCCTCTTGTCAGGCTGTTTCCTTAAGATATGGATTGTGCCTGTCTTGGCATCTTCCTTGGTTATAACAGAACTCTAAAACTTAGGCTCTCAGAACCTCCTTATTTTTTTCAATTTCTTGAGGACCTCAAGAGCTTCTGTTTGTGTGGACTGTATTTGTTATATGCAAAATTAAAACTGAGAAAATTTAAAAATCTTTATGAATTCATTTAAAAATAATAATAAACCCAGTATAACACAAATAACATATTCTTTATTGAAAAACCATTGTATTTCCTAAACAAAATACCTTGTAAAGGCAATGATTTACACACTTCTGCAAATCTGTTTGATGGCTTAGTGTAAATGAAAACAGTTGAATTCTCATTAGCTTCTGTAGTCAACTTTGACATGATATTTTAATTGAAATATAGTGAAGAAAATCTGATCTCATGCAAGTATGGAATTAAAGAAGGGATGACCCAACATAAAGGGTCTTGGGAATCCACAGGGGTTCTCTTTTCACACTTTGAAAACCACTGGTCTGTAATACCATTTGTCATATGGTTATTGTTCAATAACTATATGCTAAATTAAGGAGAAGTTTAGAGAAGAAGTAATAAATTCTCAGGGCATACATACATATATTAGAATACACACATGATTTGCACATTCACTTAGGATTCAATTGATAATATTCTTTATAAATGCTGATTGTTTTACTGCAACGAAATATTAATTGTCCTAACTCCTCAACTCTTTACAACTAAATTGGGATCTAGATCAAAGAAAGGCAGTCTGAGCTCAAGAGTGAAAAGCTGCAAAATAAAGTACATAATTCCAAAATTTAATAGAAATAGACAACCAGAGATAGACATTTCACTTTGAAAAAATTCCAAGCATAACCAAATCAAGCAGCTAATTTGAATGCTATGTCTCTTTAAAGCAGTAAATTAGATTAAAACACCTTATTGAAGATAAGCTGGATTCCAATATTTTTAGCATACTACATGACATATCTAATTCATCCATAAAAACCACAAGAAAAAATTCTGCATATATTTTTAGCACTTCTGCTTTAAATATGAATAGGAATTAACAAAATACCAAAGAAAATATATTGACTCGTACATTTCGTAATTTCCAAATAATAATTTTTGTTCTTTAAAAATAGCCATAAGTAAATTTGAAATGAAAATATAATTTTTAAGATTATGTTAGATTTTTTTCAATGTCATCTCACTATCTGGCAAAGAACAAAATGACTTACTTTTTCATTTCTAGAAGCTCATGTTCCTGAGAAGCCATTTTAGGTTCTGTCCCAGGATATTTTTGCATCTGCTGTCTCCTCTCCCTACTTGGTGCAGTATCAGTGACATCAGGACTTGAAACAATGGACTCATCTCTCCTCAAAGAAGCTAAGTTAAAATGACACAAAAATATGATCCAATAAAATTGTGCATATAATTGTAAAGTATCAACTTAACACTGATATAAAGTGACACAATGAATATACAGCAAAACTACTTAAAAATCTAGGCAGATTTAGTGAAGTGAGCCAGTCAGTGTGTAATACTTCAGTACCAATATAAAACATAAAATATATTGTACACATGGAATAATTTGATCAAAATAGTCTCTGCCAATCTTGGGCAACAGCCTTCTCAAATGCATTATAGTCACAATCTCATCTCAGTGCTGTAACTAGATAGAACTACCTTACAGGCATTGCTAAAAAGGTGTTCGGGGAGAAAATACTGGTATAGGAATAACATAAATCAAACTGATACTAAACAGTAATTATTAGTAAGAATGGGACTTCTACTGATCCAGAGATAATTTCATAGACTTTTCTGCCAACTGTGGGGATAAGCAAAAGAAAAATGTAAGAAAATACTAACAGAAGTCTTCTAATGTGGCTAAGCCATTAAATTACCCCTAAAAGCTTTTGATATACATGAAACAGAGACAACAATAGAAACATGTTTGATTTATGTTCCTTTATTCTCCTATAACCAACTTAGTTCCAAAGAGCTTTAGGAGAGTCCAGAATTCTTTAATCCAATACACATTATATTCCACAATAATACATATTTCTATAAAAGAAAAGAGCTCCTTTGCTATTGGCAAGTAATGAACAACACTAATATAATTTGGACTTTAGATGTCCTGCTGGTTCACGGTTTTTGTCAAGCATGTTAATGTTTTAAAGTGATCAGGGGCAAGCTTTCACCCCAATTAAAGAGAAAGCCTTAGCAATGTATAAAGGACTAGAAAAGTGGAGATGACTAGCTAAAAATCTTAAGCTCATTCCTTTAGTACAAATAGGGGCTGGTTTAGTGGAGTCAAGAACCCTAAACTTTTAGAAAGTTAATTCCTCTGCTAAAGCTCCAACCAAAGGGGCTGTGAAGACATTTCTCCTTGTATCTTCAATCAGATATTCTATTTTGATCAAAGTACTGGAATCAAATACACTCAATAACTCCTATCTCCTCTATTTGGGAGGAAGTGTGGTGCAAAGGGTTAGCTGACTGTGAGCTGGGTGCAAATGTTGCTAGAGAGTTAATGGAGTTAATAATTTTTTATTAGCATTGCTAACTAGAGAACCAACAATAATATAAAAACTACATAGATTTTTAGTGGTCTGACCAAACCTTAATTTTTTCCCCACAACCTCTATGATTTTTTGTCTGCAATTCTGAAGAAGGAGCAGTTTAAGCAGGGAAACGTATATCACATTTTAGAAGAAAAGCCTCTACTTTGAGTTCTCATTCTGTGCAGTTCATACTTGCTATTAACTTTGTTTGACTTATGAGGAAACCAAGTTTGCCCAAATCATACTGCCTTTGGTTTACATTTTATCATTAGACAATTAAAAAAAAATTTCTCCCTAGTGGATCTATTATTCCTCAATCAAATAGTAACTGAATGCCCATCAAAGCATATTTTACTTTCCAAAGCAGTTTAAATTATTAGGTAACATAAGTTCTACTAGATTTCCTGTACACTATTTATTAAACCCCTAAAAATGTATTGAGAGTGGAGTGGGTGAATAAAAAGTGTTTCTCTGAACACATTCAAGCTGAATGACTTCCATATTTTTATTTAGCTGTGAGGTGACTATGAAAGATAATTCTGGTTTCTTGATTTCTTACCCAGTCTGCTCTCACCTATGGCATACTCAGTTACATAGGCAATCAACAAAGAACAAGCTTATTTATGAACAGAACTAGAAAAAGGGCCAGTTAGAGGATGTTTGAACTGTAGGCAGACTTGAAAAATGGAAAAAGATTGCACTTAATGATATGGTGGACATTTAGGAAGAAAGAATATTAAGTTTAAATTAAAATTAAGGTAAATTTAAAATTTACCTTATGTAAATTAAACTTAAGGGAAGTTTAAATTAAGGTAAAATTTTGATGACTTTATACCAAAGTTACCAAAAACCTCTGCCATTCATTTCAAAATTTCAGTAATGACTTAACTTTATTATTATTTCCACATTTCAAAATTCTTGCCTATCATTATTTACCACAAAGAACCTAAGAGTTGTGTACAACCAAGTATTTCAGGTCAGATGACCACACCATTTTTATTCCTTTTACTTGACAGTTGTTAGTGTAGATTCTCTATAACACTGTCATAAGGGAAAAGGGCTAGCATATAAGCTTAATTGGTGTTTAGACTGAAAATACCTTTTTTTGGTTTATGCTTGCACTATGGGAAACAGTTTTCCCATCAGTTTATTACATACATGTTATAGCAAGCTGTATTGTAATAGATTCTTTTATTTATATTTTCTTTTAAAGGTTTAATAATATTTACATAACCTTTAATAAAAGGGAAAACATTCCATCCTATCCTTTCCTCTCCACCCAATGCCAGAAACCAGGAAAAAGAGGTGTTACTCCAACATGTGGTACTTAAGAATCAAATTGCTCATCTCAAGTGGTCCTCAAATTTCAACCCATCCTACATCTCTTCTTTATTTGTGCTACTGTTTAGTCCTTTCATTCCATTTGGTCTTTTGTTTTTTCATGTACATATTTTTTATTGCAAAAAAGTTCGTATACAATATTATGTTGGTTTCAGATGTACAATACAGTGATTTGGTAATTATATATATTACTATATATGTTTGCCACAATAAGTGTAGTTACCCCATTATCATACCAAGGTATTACAGTATTATTGGTTAAATTCTCTATGTTGTAATTCCATTCCTACATATAACTTATTTTATAATTTGCAGTTTGTACTTCTTTATCCTCTTCACCTATTTCACCCATTCTTTCACTCCCTTCCCTATGGTAACCAGCAGTCTGTTGTCTATATTTGTTGGTCTATTTTTTTTTTTTTGGATTCCACATACAAATGAAATCATATGGTGTTTGTCTTTTTCTGCCTAGGTTACTTCACTTAGCATGATACCCTCTCTAGGTCCACTCATGTTGTCACAAATGGCAAGATTTTCTTCTTTTTTATGATTGGGTAATACTCCATTGTGTATATGTATCACATCTTTATCCATTCAGCTGTCAGTAGGCACTTGGGTTGCTTCTATATCTTTGCTATTGTAAATAATGCTGAAATGAACATAGATGTGCATATATCTTTTTGATCAGAGGTTTTGTTCTCTTTGGGTAAATTCCCATAAGTGGAATTGTTGGGTCATATGGTATTTCTGTTTTTAGTTTTATGAGAAACCTCCACAATGCCTTCCACAGTGGCTGGACCAAATTACATTCCCACCAACAGTGCAGGAGGGTTCACTTTTCTCCACATACTTGCCAACACTTACTATTTCATTCCATTTGGTCTTGATACTGGGTATTTGATTTCAATTCTGACATTAGATTCTGTGTCTCCAAAAAGAAAACTATTTTATGTAAAACTGAAGGGATCTGAACTACATCAATAGGGTCATACATGGTCTTTCAAAATGTCCATATATTATTCATAACCTTACACATACTTGCTATTAACTTTGTTTGACTTATGAGGAAACCAAGTTTGCCCAAATCATACTGCCTTTGGTTTACATTTTATCATTAGACAATTAAAAAAAAATTTCTCCCTAGTGGATCTATTATTCCTCAATCAAATAGTAACTGAATGCCCATCAAAGCATATTTTACTTTCCAAAGCAGTTTAAATTATTAGGTAACATAAGTTCTACTAGATTTCCTGTACACTATTTATTAAACCCCTAAAAATGTATTGAGAGTGGAGTGGGTGAATAAAAAGTGTTTCTCTGAACACATTCAAGCTGAATGACTTCCATATTTTTATTTAGCTGTGAGGTGACTATGAAAGATAATTCTGGTTTCTTGATTTCTTACCCAGTCTGCTCTCACCTATGGCATACTCAGTTACATAGGCAATCAACAAAGAACAAGCTTATTTATGAACAGAACTAGAAAAAGGGCCAGTTAGAGGATGTTTGAACTGTAGGCAGACTTGAAAAATGGAAAAAGATTGCACTTAATGATATGGTGGACATTTAGGAAGAAAGAATATTAAGTTTAAATTAAAATTAAGGTAAATTTAAAATTTACCTTATGTAAATTAAACTTAAGGGAAGTTTAAATTAAGGTAAAATTTTGATGACTTTATACCAAAGTTACCAAAAACCTCTGCCATTCATTTCAAAATTTCAGTAATGACTTAACTTTATTATTATTTCCACATTTCAAAATTCTTGCCTATCATTATTTACCACAAAGAACCTAAGAGTTGTGTACAACCAAGTATTTCAGGTCAGATGACCACACCATTTTTATTCCTTTTACTTGACAGTTGTTAGTGTAGATTCTCTATAACACTGTCATAAGGGAAAAGGGCTAGCATATAAGCTTAATTGGTGTTTAGACTGAAAATACCTTTTTTTGGTTTATGCTTGCACTATGGGAAACAGTTTTCCCATCAGTTTATTACATACATGTTATAGCAAGCTGTATTGTAATAGATTCTTTTATTTATATTTTCTTTTAAAGGTTTAATAATATTTACATAACCTTTAATAAAAGGGAAAACATTCCATCCTATCCTTTCCTCTCCACCCAATGCCAGAAACCAGGAAAAAGAGGTGTTACTCCAACATGTGGTACTTAAGAATCAAATTGCTCATCTCAAGTGGTCCTCAAATTTCAACCCATCCTACATCTCTTCTTTATTTGTGCTACTGTTTAGTCCTTTCATTCCATTTGGTCTTTTGTTTTTTCATGTACATATTTTTTATTGCAAAAAAGTTCGTATACAATATTATGTTGGTTTCAGATGTACAATACAGTGATTTGGTAATTATATATATTACTATATATGTTTGCCACAATAAGTGTAGTTACCCCATTATCATACCAAGGTATTACAGTATTATTGGTTAAATTCTCTATGTTGTAATTCCATTCCTACATAT